TTCTCGTTTTATATTATTGTTGTGCTTTTTCTTCCAAAATAAATATTGTAATTTATTATTAGGTTTACTGTACCGCAGGGGAGAGGGAAAGAGTTTGACGTCTTCTAAAACCAATCCAACAAATTATTTTTTGAGCACATATTGTTAGAGACAAAACAGAAAAAAGAAAGGCTATAAGACCAATCTTTTTTCTCTTTTGTTACCATTACTGTTATTTCTTATGTAAATTTAGTAGTCAGTTTATTTATTTCGTTTTTTGTTGATCAAAGTTTTCACTGTTTATTGATACTTTCTTTTTTTCAGTCTTTTGTACTCTGCTGTTTCATCGTTGATTTATTGATTGTATTTTCAAGCAGTTTTATCAAGTAATTTTTTTAGGAATTACTTCTACGAGTGCCTGTACATTCAATAGCATCTGTTGGTTTGATCCGTGAAGGTTATGAAAATATATTACCAATTAAAATTGGTGATACAGCCACTAATGGTGACCTATTTGATTTAGCAGTAATTTATTGTTCGAAATTGGTATGGATTTTTTATCTCATCTTTTCTACCTTTTGTCCCTGTCGTTTTCATTTCAGCCTTTGTCTGTCTGCTTATATTAATTGATATATATATATATATATTTGGTATCTGTTTTGCTGAATGTTGACTGATACGCAGTCCTTAGTTTTGAGCTTCCTTTGTTCTGGTGTTTTTGAGCAGAAAACTGAGGAAGGGGGAAAAAAAAGTCTGCATAATGTTGGGTGCCGTTTAATGAACTTTAAAAGTGGGCGTTTTTGCTGCATTCTTAGCGCCATTGTTAAAACTGGTTTATGTATATGCGGGTATATAGCTGCTAACACTTTTTTTTTTATCTTTTTTTGAATTTTTTGTCAGGTTTTCCATATGAGAGGAAGCACTTTAAAGTGTTTTTTATAAGTTTATAAATGAATTGAGAGAGCATCTTTTGATGGTCACCATCAGTTTACAAAACAACATTTAATCTTTGTATGTATTATCAACAAGTGATCATTGTTGATGAATGGTGGATAATGCTTAATTGCTTTATTTCAGGAAGTTGCTGAAGAAATATGTAATTTTTTGGGACAATGTTTTTCTCAAGTTTACAAGGAAGCAGCTGGCAGTTTTGATTTAAAGGCATCATCTATTACCAGTAAGTTTAATCTTGTTTTGCTACCTGAGTTATTGCGATAAGAAAAAAAAAAAAAAAAGAAAGGCAAAAAAAGTGAGTTTTGCAATAGTATCTAATTTGAAGTGCTGAAAAATCGAACTAATTTTTCTTAGCAGTCGAGTTTTCATTTTTTTTTTTTTTTGTTTCTTAACTTTTATCTTTTATTTTACAGCAACTCGCATTTACACATACTTAAAAATTAATTTGGTGAACATGATTATTTAATATGTGGATATGTATTGCAACATTTTAATAGCAAATAATAAACAGCAATTTGTGGGGGGAATATTTTTGAATGTAGTTTAGTTGCTAAAGTACAGTCTAATTGAAAATTCTCTAAATGAAATGAGTTTTAAATTTCTGAGAAACATACACGTTTTTTTTTTTTTTTTTTTTTTTTTAAAAA